CAGCTTTAATGCCCTTCTGTATCTCAACAGTGTGTTCTGACGAATGTCGTCTTGGCATATTAGGATGCTTGGTGTGAAGGAAGTACATTGATACATACCGGGCAAAGATGATATATATCTACATTGCTGCTCAGATGTGTATTTAGAGAAACACAGCTCTCATGTTGTATATTTGCTACATTTGACTGTCTGGAGAGGAGTAAACAGAGAATACATGTGTTGCCATGGTGACATGATGGAGGATTGAGATGAGTGTGATGAACATGGTGATGTGGTATGGATGTGGGTATTAAAGTGTTTCTTACAGCAGCGATGTATGACTTCCAACTTACTGTTATGTATTACATTATCATCTATTTGGAGCCACAAGAATACAGATTGCCCTTCATTGTATCTGCAAACATGCAGATACGTATTCCTTCCCATCTTAGCATATGAGCAATCAGACATATAGAGCCATGTTAGTTGTATGGAGAAAAAAATATATGCATGCCTAACAAGAAAAAAATGTTATCAAAATTTGTCTCCTCATATTGGAATTGAATTTGTATATGTTTGTTTCATTTTGATTTTCCACCATGTTTGCCATAATTATTACTAATGTCAATTTCTCTTTTCTCTTTCTTTCTTCATTTCATTTGTCTCTGATTTGGATTTGGACACAAATAGGTAAGTGATAAATACATAATCATTTTTTTTTTAAACTTTGAAATCATTTCTTTTCCATAACTGTTTCACATTTATGTCAATGGTTTGTCTTCTATACATACTTCAAGGGAATCTCCCTCTTTGTTAATGTGATGATTCATTCTAGCTCCCAACAGAAGCATTGTAATTGTTTTCTTTTAATTTGAAAGTTCAATTTGAGATGGGAGCTTGGGTTTATTGTTTCCTTAAAGCCAGGGAAGAAAAAAAGATTTTTTTTTGTTTACTGCTCACTATCACCCCTGCTTTCTGGCTCTCAAGGAATGATATGATTAGCCAAGAAGCCTGAACCTAGCTCTGAGTTTGCGATGATAAATATAAAATAGGGCATCTCTCAGGCCCACACAGCCCCTGAAGCAATGCCATCTCTGTTTCGAGAAATAATAGCATTATTTCACTGCCAAGAAATCTGCAATCCCATTTTCTCATCAAAATCGCCCAATTCCTAACCTAGCCCCAAACACAATAACAATCAGCTGCTTGCCTTTTAACCTCTTACCAATTCTCAATAGAATTGTATTGAGACAACATCTGTGCAAGAAAAGTAGATTTTGCTGATAACGATTTGGAGATTATTTTCTAATGTTTCCTGCAAAATAAACCCTTTTTTCTTCTTCATTGTACTTGCATTAATGCAATGAGATTCTGACTAGAGATACCAGGCAGCTTAACTATCTTCCTATTTGTAATAGATTTGTATCTCCACTAGCAAAGTAGATTTAACAGATCTTGTTCGATTTTTAAAAAAATTGCATGCCAAGTAAAAGTAATTTAATACCCGAGTTCAGATGCAATAAAAAGATTTTGGATAGAGATAAGATAGAGAAATAGATTTAAGAGGACTTGATTTAAATAAATTAGGTAACTTTTTTTGTTGATATATCTTTTTTTTTCTTGCAGATTAGGTGTAAAGAATGTATGTGTTTTAAATAGAAATATGTCCGTTTACTGATAGATTTTCTGTGTTTTTTGTAAGGGTGAAAGTATCATACCACTCCCATAAGACCTATCAAAGTATGTTTGTCTAAAACTTTTCTAGGTTTCTTGGACACAAGGTTAATTATCAGCATCTTTTGTCACAAATGTTGTATTCCATGTAATCCATACAACCAATATACTGCTCCACTCATACTTATATATGGTATGTCTGCAATTCCATTAATGGATGCTCAATAAGAAGATCTGAGATTAATTTCTCAAAAGCTGCTAAATATTTTATTTCATTCTTCCTCCAGTAAAGTGCTCGTGCCATACATATTTTTGCCCCAGGGAATGTGATTTAATTGAATTGTGCCAACGAGGAGGACTAGAAGTAGAACATTTGTGTTGTAATTGCTTTGGTCTCTCATGGGACTTGCGAATATGTGTGTGTGTTTGTGTGTGTGTGTGTGTGGGAGGGGAGGGGCAATGTTTCGGCCAGAGATTCGGCCAGAGACGGGATGTGTTTTTTGTTCTGTTTTGTGAAATGGATAAGCGTAATTTATATAAAATTTGGAGGCTCGAAAGTCTGGATTTCTTTATGCATACATTTTGTATTATTCAATTATTTTATGAGTAGAAACTCTTTACTAATTCCACCTCTTGACAAAAAATTAAAGCTTAAACGATGATTCCAGAACCTTGCAGTACACATTAATACTTCTATGCTAGATGATCAACCTTTTCTGATCGATTCCACAACGTTTCTTTCACAATGCAATCGCATGACCAGAACTGGTCTTAAACTTTAAATTAAAAAGTGCTCTTGTGGGGAGCTGTTAAAGGAAACGGATGATATCCCTGTAGACATTTTTAAGTGCTCATTAGCAGAGATTTTTGAGAGCTTTCCAGAGCAAAGATTGGTCACCACTCCCAAATATCTTTTTCTTTTGTTCATTGGTGAAGCACCTTTAATTCTCTCTGAGATTAAATTCATATCTTTTCTATTCTGTCCTTTGCACTCCGGGGGCTTTGTCACACATCTGTCATAATGTGTCAAAAAATGAATCTATTCCTTTGTGATTGAGTGGTGCAGCCGGCCAGCATATGGAATGATTTACCTATTATCATGTTTCTGATAGTTGCTACCAAATGTTTGAGCTTCTTGACAAATAAGGAATGTAGCAATTTGTGACAGGTTAATATTTTTGTTGAATCCCTCTTTGTCCAGGTTTGATGAGTATGACTATGCTAGCACACACTATTGTCAGTCATTTTATGAATGATCTGAATTCTTTTGATTAGCAACTTAAGTTCTTCGCACATTACCGTCTAGCTGTTTTGATATAATCATTTCTTGAAAACTTATTTAGGTCTTCATCAAGTCATGCTTGTGGAAGTATGTAATGGTAGAAAAAGTGTTGAACTCAAGACTTATTTCATGCCATGCTGAATTATATTGAAAAAAAAGGAAAAAGAAAAAGGAATGGATATGCATATGACAAGTGTAAACATAAATCCTTTTTTTTAAGACCATTCATGATTAATCTTTCTCAACAACAACAACAACAACAAAATAAAATTAGTAAAAGGGATTATTTATTGTCTCTGTGCATGGAACAATATTTATTTTGCACTCCAATTCATGACCAAGATTTATATATCATTATTTTGCTCGTTTCCTGTCCCATTTGTAATCCCCTTCTGACCTAGATTGAAAACGACAATGATTAACCACTGGCCATGCTCTACCCACACCAAATGAGATAATGGTCTCGATCCAACCAAACATTTCAATAATTGCCATTTTTCATCAACAACCTCATCAGTTTATTTTCAGCCCCCATAACAACTGAAGCCATCATCATCAAAATACGAAGAGGATATAGAGCAAAGATTCACCACATTGTTTTGTGGGTTTGTACAAAACTCAACTTAGCCCCCTTTCACTCCAGGACGCGATCATTGGTAGGGAACTTCTTTTATGGTGTAAATGGGACCATTGACGCGGCTTACAAATAGCAGCAAAGGTCTCAATGCCAATTTACACCAGGGTTCAATATTGCATTTGTTATAGTGAAATCATTATGTTAGGCCAAAGAAGTTGGCATGTTAAAGGTAGTTACTGTCTCTCAAATCACAAATAACGCTCAAAATAAGTGCCTCCAAATGATAATAGTTGCTTAGCAACATTCTAATGAATTATCAACATTTTCATTTATCTGTTTGGAATGTTTATGATACCCCTAACAACAGCATAGAGATATTAGGTTGGAAATATTTTGTGACGTGAGAGGAGTTTTGTTCTGTTCCGTGTCCTGGCTATTGTCATATTTTGTTCCCGCCATGTAGTGCATGGTCAGTCAAGCGGTGGCACTGTTGTACTTGCTAATGACGAAATGATCATGTGCCCTTTATCTCCCTGGAGGATAAATTATTATCATTTAGAGTTGTTTTGAAAAGTGCAATGGTTGTGGTTTTGTCTTGTTTTTTACTGATGTGTTGCCTTCATGATATAGATTGCATACACAGTGCACAGACAGAGATTTAAAGCACAGTCTACCCAAAATGGATTGACCAGGACACTGTGGCTTTCATCTAATTTATTATCAATATTTCCCCCCATCGCTATTTCAGGATCTCTCATGTTACAATCCTTGCAGGAAGTTTATTTTAGGATCTAGCAAACCTCAAATATGGAAACCAATCCTATAAATAGCTGATGAATAACAGACCAAACATTGCTCAGGATGTTTTCATTTACATTACACACTTTTTAATGTATTCACATGTATACCTAGGCTCTCACAGGAATGTGTGTCTTACAAAACGTTAACATCTCAAGATAATATAGTATGGTTCTCACATTCCTTGCATGTAGAAACTAGAAGATGAGCTTTAACCATGTATTTCTTTCACATCTCGATGAATAGCTAATGAATAAACATTAGCATAAAAGATTCTACTCATATTTTCTCTGGAGCCTACAATCTGAAACCATCTGTGAACTTGCCATTGATGTAGACCACAGGTATACTACACCCACTCACATATTGCACAAACTGCACCTCCAGATGGCCTTGAGTAAGTTACAATGAATGAAATATACATCACAATGAAATATTCATCATGTGGGCAGGGAAACTATTTCCTTCCTGTTGGTTTTAAGAGAAGCCCATTGAAACCAAAATCACCCTATACTTATTAAACCTCTAATGATATACAGTTCCAAATACTTCAGCATATTTTGCATCTTAATTTATTCGAAAGATGAAGTCAACATTTTGTGAGGCTATCAAGTGAATTCTGTTTTTGTTGGAAGTAAACACAGGAAATACTAATGAGGGGCCTCAAAAGTTGACATATCTGCAGCAAAATGTTAGACTTCAGTAGGCAGTAACAAAAGTTAAGCTTGTTTACAACTCTGGGTATTATGACATAGTAAAGAAAGGTGAGTTGATCGACAGTGACTTTTTTGTGCAAATGCTTTTGATTATTCTGACTTGCTGAAGTGCTACTGGAAGTAACGAACAAAGTGTTTTCTTCCACGTTGTGACTTTTCCACCATTACTTATTTGGACAGAGCATGAGCGTTACATGTTTTGCCACTGCGATTAAAGGGATAACATTTGGAGGTTCATCATTTGAGTAGGATGCCAATGTTTTGGATTGTTCTGTCTTTCCTGGAATACCTTTGTGGAATTTAGTGAAACCTATAATTCTCTTCTACAGTGAAAGTTTTACAGGAAAGTTTTACTGGACATTTGAAAAGTGAACTGAAATTTATGACAAAAAAGAAAAATAGCTGATCATAAATATAAGTGATTGTGGATTGAATTTTGAGTTGTTTGTACTTATGGAGTACTTGTTCAACTTTAAAGGAAGTTACCCATGTCAATAAATTTGTAGCAAAAATCATGAAAGAGTTACCATCAGCTGAACAGATATCATCTGCATTTGGTTTGGCGGTGATTAGACGCTGATTCTCAAGAAACAGGAATATCATGCAGCTTTGGAGATCATAATGTTGGACCAACAATAACACTTTTAACAATTGCAGTTGGAGAAGAAATGGTTTTCGGTTTAAATTTCAAATATTGATGAATAAAAAAAGATCTGGAATATCATCTATGTTGTGTCCAAGGAAAGGAAAACGAATCGGTTAATCTTGAAGACACCATACCTTCGCTTGAGTGAAGGATCACCAAGAGGGTCCAAGAATGGCCCCTATGGGTTCATCAGAGACACCCTCTAAGGTAACTCTTAATAACATGGTGTCATCACCTGGGCCTCAGCCCATCAGCATGGGCTCATCACAGATACCCACTATAACAGTAACCCTTGATGACATGGAGGTGTCGCCTCGCCCACGTCCCGTCAGCATGATGGACACCAGGCCCATCCCCCAGCTCAATCTGGTTGGGTGTCGCTACGAACCCTATGTCCCACCAGCTGGGGTCAGAGGGGGGCAGCACATACGAGAGCGGACTTGGTCTACCTGGTCCAGGCATAGTGTTCACTCTACCACTGGCCGTGTAGGGAGTCTGGGTGGAAGGGTGAGTATGTCTCTTGAAACCAACTTCATAACAGGGAGTTTAACATAGTGAAGCCTCAAGGTCTATCATAGACACTGTATTATTGATAAATCAGATATCTCACTTCATACTCTCTTAAAAAAAAAGAGTGAATTTTCACTCTATTTTCACTTTCTTGGGAATGACGTCCGTGATCACTTGTTTTAGGAGTGAAAATCGATTGATTTTAGAGTGCTCTATAAGAAGAAAAGAGTGAATGTTCACTCTATTTTCACTACATTTTCACTCTCCAGAGGAGTGACGTCCGTGATCACTCGGATTTGTTTGGAGAGTACACAGGAGAAATAGAGGCGACTGGTCAGACGCCAGGCAAGAGGCATTGTGAACATGAATGACATACTGCTCATAGGGGGTCTTTTGATCAAACATATTCTCATCTATGATTATTAGGAAGATGCAGCGATTGCAGTTATTTTTTTTTTAATGTCTTCCAAATGAAGCATGTTAACATCTATATGTAAGTTTGCAGTCATAAATTAGAGTACTTTATAATGTCACAATGTGCTTTCCGATTGGATGTTACAGAAGTGACGAAGGATTCTCCTGGCAAATCAGCAAGACATGTCTTGCTGTTGAAAATTTGGTTTTCTCTACAGAAACTATTATTACTTGCAGTCGTTGTTCCAAACTGTTTCTTCAAAATCCTTTTTCTTAAAGTGTAGAAGAGTATATTACCCATAACCCCCGCACCACCCCCCCCCCCCCTAAAAAGGGAATATTATACAATGCAATTATACATTTTGCTGGAAATTTAGGATTAAATATCTCTTTGGAGGAATGCTTAATCTTAGATCAGTCTGCATTTGATCCATGATTTCAAGGAATCGACTAAGGCTTGTACACCCCCCTGTTTATCAAACTGATTGTCATTTGACTACAAGATTTAATGCTTAGTGGCTGCCATACCTAGCTCAGGTTTCCAAATCCTTCTAAAGTCACCAGACCAGATATTATCAGGAGACAGAATGTGTGCCTTCGATCATCTTATAAAACTCAGAAACATGATCATAGGCCATGATTGGAAAAATATTCATATTGCAATCGTGACGGTCATTTACACAAAAAGCTATTGGTGAGGCTCCAACATCAGTTTTTGAACTGTATTAGAATCTCTATTTGTGTGCATGTAAACAACAATTCTAATGGTGGGTGATATCATCAATTCTCATCTAGTTTAAACGATTGTTTTGCTCTCTTGGAGATGGAAATTTGATTTAATTTTTTTTTTAAACCTAGAGTCAATACCCTCTTGCTCTCAACAGACCTGAAAGAAAATATGAAAAATATGTGTGTCAGTTTGCAAACATTGAACTTGTATGTATGCACATCCTGGCCCAAGAGACGCATGCATAAAGGATAAGGGGAAGTAGAATTTGGGATTAATCCCTTGAGAGAAAGATAAGAGATAATTATAAAATATTATAGTTCTCTACTTGTTTGACAGAAAACAGACACTGTAATGTCCGCTGTGAAGAGTAAATCATGGTGCTCCAGGGTACCATCAAGCTTTTATAAGCAGGGTTGATAGGCCATTAATAGTTGAATGATTGTGCTAGGGATGAAAAGCAAATTACTTTTTTTATGTGGGCATTGTAAAGTTCAGGGGTGAAAATACTGGAAGGGATTGTGACCCCAAATGCACTTTTATCTTTCATGCGGTCATCTCTCTGTCTCCTTTTCTCTCCCTTCTCAATCTGTTTGTCTCAATATCCCATTTCCTCTCTCTCTCTCTCTCTCTCTCTCTGTCTCTCTCTATATCTCTCTCTCTCTGTCTCTCTCTATATCTCTCTCTCTTTCTCTCTTTCTATATCTCTTCTCTCTCTCTTTCTCTCAATAAATCTGCTCATCTTGACTGTATGTACCCATATGTTCTTTTCAACCCGAATAACCCAACTCCATTACCTTAGAGGTTAGAGCAAAAAGGTGCTAAAATAGCACTTTTATGTAGAGGAGGTACGTGTGTCTTGATTGCACCACTTAATATAAACTAAAGGCTCATCTACTGACAGTAAGGTTAATTCCCTTCTCGCTCTCAACGAATGTATACTTTGTTCCAGTTATAAACCATATATTCTCATTTGTATCTGTCAAGCGCAAGAAGGGCGCAACTCTATATAGGTGAAAGGGTCTAAGTTCATGCCCTTTTGGCTCGCAACGGTTTGACCATGGACCTACTATTGGTCTATTATCTACCCGTCTGCAGAAAGAGGCATCCAATTTATAAGAGGGCTTAATACAGAAGATCCTTCAGATTCTCTTTCCTACTTTCAGATTGGAAATTCTTCTTGAGATCATCAATCATTAAGAGTAGTCTTCCATTCCAGACACCAGGCCTGAAAAGGCAGACAGTCAGGATGATTGACAAACAGCAAACAGAAATACAAGATATAATCAGCTGAGAGCCAGAAGGGTGTAATACCTGTCATTTATCACAGATTTTCTTCTTACTTTTGATTGAAATTCCTTTTGGGGATCATCCGTCATTAATAGTAGTCTAGTTTTGCAGACAGGATTGAAAAGGCACACATTGGCATGATTTCAAAGCTCATCTGAGCTTAGGGAATCTGTTCACCAGTTCAGTAACACTTACCCCTTTGACTACTGACTTCTCTTACTCCCAAAGGTGTAATACAGTAACCATTCAGTTCCCATGGGTCATGGGTTAAGAACATCTCTATTGAATGCAACATGATGATAGCATAATAATAGTAATGATGGTTTCTTGTGTAGTGCTCATACATCATGTTCATCATGCTGTGATGCTGGCTGGCCCTCCAGCGTAATGACCCTGTAGCCAAGCGTTTATCGGGTACCCATTTACATGTTCACCTGGGTGGAGAATAGTGAACATAAATCATTGTCTCTGCAAAGGGATGTCAGTGCCCCCCCCCCCCCCCAAAGAAAAAATAAATAAATAAATAAATAAAAATAATAAATAAATAAATAATAATAATAAATTAATAAATAAATAATAATAATAATAATAATTTTTAAAAAATATTTAGAATAAATAAATAAATAAATAAATAAATAAATGAATAAATTATTTATTTTAAAAAATACCCCCCAAAAATAGAAATGAATAAATAAATTTTAAAAAATCAATAAACAAACACACAAACAAACAAATAACAAAAAAAATAAAAAATAAATAAATAAATAAATAAAAAATGAAAAATAAAAGAGTACCCTAAGAGAGTTTGTGCTGGTCAGACTACACCTATCAACTGTGTGCCACAGAATGGACATTGCAGTAGGTATATCAACAGTGACATTTGAGTGAGAGAAAGTCTATAATATCTGATATCTCATCTTACTTCAGCCCAAGATTGGCAAGTATTGACAAACTCAGCTCAAACTTGATTAGATTGTGTGTGTCTGTCTGCCTGCTGAGAGCCAGATGGTCATTGAATCCATGTGATAGAATGAGAGTTAAAGCATGGACCTACTACAAGTAGGTCCATAGTTAATGGCCTTCTAGCTCTGAGGAATGTGACTTTGATGTTTTGATGGAGATGCATCCATTCCAGATAAGCATTGTGACTTCTGCATTGCACTATCCTCTGACAGAAAGGAGTGATGCACTCTATATATATCATCTGCTTTGAGACAGAGGGCTGGTGACTATAGAGTCAAAACCATGTAATCCTGTATAGTTCTCCTCAAAGGATGTCTTGGTATCTAGGGTAAATTGTATTGGAAATTGGAAATATATTCATATATTGTCTACTAGCTATTCTCAATTTGATTGTACTGCTTGTAGGTTTAATATATTTTGGAGTTTCTTTTCAATCTTTGATGTTATAAACAGTAGCTGTGATATTTACAAGAAGACTATTAGGAGTTGTTAAATAGCTGTACATTTCATGTAATGCATCATGAAATAACAATTATTTTTAATTTGTATCTGCACTTGCTATATACCATCGGTAAGATAAGATGGTTAGGACCATTATTCTTGGCTAAAAGCCAGGAAGGCATCTTTGACATGATGATATTACTCTCAACAAAAGTTATCCTGGATGACGCTGACCCTCCCTTCCCTAGTTAGCCCCCTCCCACTGATAATACAATCTAATTTACAAAGAAACATAGCAGCAAAACCACACTATACTACATGCTTTCACTTTGAATCTCAAACATTCTTCCTATATACAGTGCTTGTATTGAGACCTTGTTTATATTCCATTGGTTAACCCTCTGCCTACTATTACGGTATGGTTCCTGTATTAAAGCTTATAAAACAGGACCCTGGCCATCTGCAACCTTTTGAATATCAAGAAAATACACAGACAAAGGATTAAATAAAATATCTCTAAAGGGTTTGAAATCTCCATGGAATACCAGCAAGGAATTACAGCTCAATTTCCTCTCGTTCTAGAACCCAACTTGACCCAAATAACCTAGATAAAACATCAATAAAATATTGTCTATGACATTTAGACTGAACTATAATAGCCGCTAGCGATTGTCTGCATGAAATAATGCGTTTTTAAGCAACAACATAACAGAGTATTGTATAGTTACGAATGTAGTCTAATCCTTGCAAATATTTTTGGCAAGATCTTTTTTAGTAAGATACATTTAGAGAAAATTGATATTACTTGACAAAAATGGTACTTTTTATGACTGTACACTTCTCTTATTACTTCATATTTTACATATAAGCTTATTTTTTTTCATGACTTCTAATGTCAAGTAGTTTCAAATGATAATTTGATGAACTGTCTACTGGGAGCCTCTGAGCTATGTAACAAGTTACATCAGTTAGTAAAAACTATTGAAATCTTTGCATTTGAGTGGTTGTGACAAATTTGTTATAGACATTTTCTAAAAGAAATTTTTCATAGATAATAATTAAGTTTTGTGAAAGGGGCCTCAACGAAGGATAACTCTATGTAAGGTGCTCTCAGCTGATGAAATCAATGTTGCTCAGATTTTTTATGTTTTACCAATTACAG